GAACAAATTCAAACAAGTCATTCTGGAAAACTGTCGGCTTACATCTGCCTCACCTGCTAGTCTATGGATAATCAGCACACACCCCTAATTCCTTGTCGTACATGCCTGCATCATTGTAATCCACTGTCCCATTATAGGGCCTGGCCTTCAGTACACATTTCGAGCCAGAAGGAACGAGTCCCTGGAGAAGGACATCGTGTGGTACAGGGTCAGCGAGATAGAGGGAGACCCTTGATGATGAGATGGCCTGACACCGTGGCTGCCAAGACGGGCTCAGACGTCATCATTAGGAGGCCGGTACACTGGGTCACTCTGAGTTGCAATCAATTCAACGGGCACTAATGGCAAGTTAATATGAAGACGCCCTGATGGCCCCAGGGTTTATGTGCTCAGCCACTCACCAGGAGGTTGGTGGTTCGATCCTACCCATGGGCTCTGAGGGAGCAAAGACAAGGGCGGGGGTATTGGGGGCAGGGAATCTGTTTCCACAAAGATTACAGCTTAGAAGCCCTGTGCGGTGCTTGTACGCTGTCACCTGGGGCCGCTTACTGAGTTGAAACCAACGTGGTGACACTCAACAGCCAATAGTCCTGTAACCCCTGCTGTTCTAGCGGCCGGTGTTAATTGGGAGGACTCCCAGTGGCATGGTGGTAAAACACTTGTCAGTTAACCCAGCGGCTGGCGGTTCAAAACCACCTCAGACTTTGAGGGAATCGAGCCTGAAAGACCCCTGCTTGTGAAAAGACTGTGGTTGTCTGGTTCCGACTCACGGCCGCCCTATGGACCACAGAACGGAACCAGGCCCAGTCCCGGCCGCGAGCCCACAATGCATCTCGTTGAGGGTGCTCCTCTCCTTTGCTGCCCCTCGACGTAACCCAGCAGGGTGTCCTTCTCCAGGGACTGGTCTCTCCTGGCCTTGGAAGCCCTGTGGGGCAGTTGGACTCTGACCTGTGGGGGCCGCCGCTATGAGCAGACACACTCAGCAGAAACAGGAAATGGATGTGCTGGATGAACGAGAGGACGCTGCTATTGGGAGACATGTGGACAGCAGGCCACGTGACAAGAGTCAGACTGAGTGTGAGCGGCCAGTGTGGGGGCCCCGCTGAGCCTTGACCTCGGGGCGGGGAGCACCCTCGGGGGAAGCAGCCCAGCTCTTGTTCTAGACCCCCAGGCTGGCCTCCCTTTCTGCATGGTCTCGATGGTCCCCGCCAGACCTCGTCCTTGACCCAAAGGCATTCTGGTGGCTCTGCGAAGTGCCACACTGGCCAGTGACAGGCCAAACCCAAAGCTTAATCACAGGGACACCTCTGAGGACAACACAAAAGTCACTGCTTTCCTAGGGAGCTTAGACCCCTGTCAGTCATGAAAGGATGCGGATGAAGCGCTGGGGCAGAGGAGGAGAGGTGGGGACGCGTCACAAATGTCTGATGACTACTGTGGACTTCCCCGGCCTGCTGCGGACGCTGGGTGGGAGCGCTTCCATACGGATGCATCTCGCCATGATACTCAAAAGCATACAAGACAGAGAAACCACCTCACTGCCACCGCGTCCTTTCTGACCCCGGTGGGTTTCTGAGACTGTCACTCCTCTTTCTTCCGAAGGCTCTTTCCACGGATGCAGGGGAAGGGACAGCTCGTTCCTCGTGACTGACTCCAGAGCGCTTCTCAGCGGCCTGTGTGACTGGTTGGTTCTGTCTTCGCTCTTGACCACCCAGGGAAACTGGTAAACAATCATAGTAATGATACATTCAAGGTCCTACCCAATCGTGCCAGTAGATCCCCGTGGGCACTTGAGAGCCACATTTTACTTCTAAAACTACAGACGCCTCAGGGCCTTAAAACGTTTATTCATCTCATGAGTGACACCCGTGTGGAAAAATCTTATCTAAGGGCAGCACTTGAGCTCCTGTTTAAAAAGAAAGAAGGCCAACAATAATAATAAAGTATAGCGACTACAAGGCCTGGAGAATTTGGATCAAGTTGACTAGTCGTCCTTTCTCCGAGGTCCTCCACCATCCTATTTGTCTCCGACCAGATTTGAAAGTTGATTTTTCTTTCCCCCAGTGAACAAGAGGCATGAAAACATGCTCCCATGTGTTTTGTGGTCCAGGGGCAGAGTTGTTTTCTAAACATTCAAACGCGCGTGGGGACGGAGGTGCACTTCTGAACAAAGAAAGAGGAGGGGACTCAGCATTTCTCACGGGTACCCGAGAGGTGCCATTGTGGCGTCTCGAGGAAACAATCGCCCGGCTAGCGGGTCCTCGGGGAGCGAGTCCGTTTCCACCGTGATTGGATCTGGCGCCGGCCACCAGCCTGTAGGGTCGCCAAGCTTTAATAAATGGGCACAGAAATGGCGGATCTGGGAAAACCACTTGTTGTGAGTGGAGAGAGGCTTTCCTCTCAAGCGTCTGGCTTGACCGCTCTCTGAACCGGTGGCTCGCTTAAAACTCAGAGGACTTGGGACCTGTGTGGTTCCCATGTGGGGCCTGTTCCCAAACAGATGGCTTACCGAAAATATAATAAAAGGACCCCTCTCAGAAGAACATCTCAAACACAGAGCAGCTGCCAGAACCCCCGCCTCCAGCTCCCCCATGCAGGCGAGCTCCGCTTTGGGGTGCATTATTCACGAGGTTCCTTTCTCACCGTGTAAACACCAGAGTGGGCCCCTTTGTCTGAGTCCCCTGAGAGTGTTTTGAAGACTCAATCCCAGTGAGTCCAGAGGGAACAGTGGCTTTTGAAGGCTTCCCTGTGCTGGCAGCTTGGGGGCTGTTACATATTCATGCACATTCACTCCCCAGACTTGACCAGATGCCCAGACCGAAGGCCGTGGGCTTCAGAAAGGGGAATCCATCCCCGAAACAAAAGCACCCACCTCTGCCCTTCGGATGGCGCCAGGGATGCTACCAGGGTTACTCTCCCGACACACAGGCCCGCCATGGTCCACCGGGTCGGCGCGCCGCGCTCTGAAGCCACAGCCCTGCTTCTCACTGGCTCTCACTGCCACTCATGGGGACCCGATAGGACAGCGTAGAATGGCCTCTCCAGGTCTGGGAGACTCACTCTTCAAGGGAGTCAACAGCCTCACTTTTCTCCCATGGAGCAGCTGGTGGTTTCCAACTGCTGACCTTGCAGCGACTAGCTCAATGTCTACCTACTGTATCACCAGGCTCCTTCCCACAGGCCATCTCTGCTCTCGGGCTCCCTTCCCCCTCCTCACCCACGGGTTCATTTCTCGTTTCTCCTGGGAGAACTCTAAAATCACCTGCTCCGACCGCACTAGAATGCCCATGTGAACCCCAAATCAAGGCCGTTTCTTTGTTGGGGATGGGGGTAGGTGGGAGGGAGGCTGGCTGGCTAGAGACGTCGCTACAAGGGGAGAAGGCTCTTATCTGACGTCACATCAAAACGAGCCCATGGAAATCGAAGCGTTCCACAGGCTCAGGCAGCGAATTTCTGGCGCATTGAGGTTTGTTTTGCTCTTGTTTCTGACTGCCATATGAAGAGACCCTTCAAATCTCGCTGAACAGTGAGACCTGGGAGAGGAGGGCCGTGTGTTTCCGGGTCTCAAAAGCTGCATCCACCTTTGGCAGGATGCAGCCTTACCACTTTTCTCTCGCTCTCATTTTAGAGACAAATGCTTGGGTTTCCCTCCTCGGGCAGGTCTCTGCCTCACACAGTTTCTGGCTTTCCCAGGCTCTGTGTAATACACTGGGCAAGAGTCCAACGAAAACCACCTAAGCCAAAAGCCTTCAGCTGTAGGGGCATTCATTCATTCATTCATTCATTCCCCACCACCTTCACCGGCTTCCTGTTGATTTTGTGGTCAAAGCTCACAATGACCATCGAATCTATTCCAACTCACAGCAAGCCTAGAGGACAAAAGAGAACTGCCCCTGGGGGTTTCCAAGACTGTACCTCTTTACAGGAGTAAAAGCCTCATCTCTCTCCCTCGGAGCTGCTGGTGGTTTAGAACTGCTGGCCTTCAAGTAAGCCGCGCAACACATAACCCACTACACCATCGGGGCTCCTTGATTTATTATGTGAAAGATATATATCTATATATGTGTTTGTATGTATTATATAATCACAGTTCTATATGTTAATATATACGGTGATCAGGGCAATGGTGAGGATGGCGCAGGTCTGAGCAGTGTTTCATTCTGTTGTGATAGGACGGTATGGGTCAGAACTGACTCTATGACACCTCACCACAGCGTATTATTAATATAGAGACATGTATTACAATCGAGGAAGCCTAGTAGAGGGTCACTCTGGATCAGAACCAACTCGCTGGCAGCGTGTTTTACTCACAGAAACCCAGGTAACAACTGTGGCGCCACCGCTGGGAACCGGCAGTTACCTCGGCTGTGGACAGAGTATTCGAGAAGGCCTCGCCGTTCAAGAACATCTCAGCCTGGCAACACACAGGGAAGCACGTGGCTGTTCAAATATAAGAAACGATGGCAATTGCAGAGACTGCGCGGCCTGGGCTCTGTCGACATCTCTTTATTTCTCGGTACAGCCGAGAGCAGAGGTGGGGATTCTCGGTGTCTGTGCTGGAGAACCGCCCCTGCAACCCCCAGCCAATGCCCCTCCGACGACCCGGTCTGCCAGTGCAGGTTTGAGTGCTGCTCGGAGGCTGCACAGCTTCCACACTGACGGACCAGGAAGAGGGACCCGAGATCTACTCCCAAAGTCAGCCCGGGAAAACCCTATGGGCCACAGCCATCCTGTTGGTGACGGAAGGTGGGGAAGGTGCAGGACTGGGCAGCCTCCTGCTGTGCTAGGCGTGGGGCTACTGAGCTGGGCTGACAGATGCACAACCGCCCCACCACAGGGCAACAAGCCTTGCCCAGTGCTAATCCTGGCTGGACCATGATAGCAGTATGTAGGGTGAGAGAAATGACTTCCCGCCAGTATGAGGGTATCCATTTTTTATTGTGAGTGCCTCGAGTCAAAGGCTTTGGGGCTCACAGGTTACATTTCAAGAGACCACAGACGACAGCATTCCAAGCACTTTAATTTTTGACAGAGCAAAGAAAGAAAAGAACACTCGGCGGGGATGTGAAGCACGCTCATGTCTGAATTTGTCTTTCTTTTCTTATGAGCACTGACCATTCCCAGGCCACAAACCCTGCTCTGGAGACTGGCGGCGAACATTTGTCACCTCTGCCGGGAGAAGCCGCGAACAATCAATGTACTCGGAAAGTGGGTTGACGACACAGTGTAGCAGGCCCGCCCCTGTAACCGCCTTCCTCATCCCACAAGGCCCATCGTCCTCCATCACCCATATGACCAGCTGTGTGTCAGGATGCCAGGACAAGAAGCTGGGCATGAGGCACTGGCAGACTCTATGGAAGCTTGGATTTTCTCAAAGCGTCATTATTTCTTTTCCGTGAAAGTGTAAGACTTTCAGCATCTGAGAGCATCCAAGAAGATAAAGAATAAGGGTGGACTGGTCAAGAACGTGACCATCTGAGCCCGGTGTGGTTCAAAGGGAAAAGTCTTGGTTTGCTCAAGTGATGGTTTCGGTGGTGTGTAATGCCAACAACAGATGACTTTCTGTCCCCCTGGGAAGGTTTCCTTGCAATCTGTCCTTCCTGTTCCAGGGTGCTGGTTGCTCCAGACGGAGTTGGCTGCTCTAATGCGATCCCAGTCCCGTGGAAGTGCTTATCTTTCACAGCTGCAGTGCTCTTCATCTGAGTGGATGCTCAAACACAACGCATAGGAACTTGAAACTCATAGAGTTCGTGTTTACAATTTATAAAATTAAACCTGCTCCAAACGGGCCATAGAGGGAGGCATGCTTGCAACCTCTGGAGTCAATGAGACACAACGTCTGGGAGCACGGAGCCTTCCCCATAGGCAGCGGTGAGCTCCTTCCTTAACCAAGATCCGATGTGATGCACATTGGAACTGAAGTACGTCTCACTTATTTCTACAAGGCTGGGACACGGGAAGTGGCCAGAACTTCATGCATCATCTTGCCTGTTGACAAAAGGAACAATAACTGGTCATCACGGGGCAATGGAATCACTTTCCCTAGATTTTTGTTGTTGTTTCTGTTGAAGATTAAATCCTAAGGAAGAGATGGTGCCAATACAACAGCAAGCGTTTCAATGTTCGATGAATTTCTGTGCTCTAGAATGCCATGTCTTCTCCTGGAAGAGCAGGAACATCTAGCGAATGCAATGTTCACTTCTCTTAAAGCCGAGACAGTTTGGGAGAGAACCCAGAGCTGGGAGTCAGTAGGCCTGGGCTCCAGATGAGATTCCACCAGACAGGAATGGAGTCACCCAACCTAGCTAGGCTCACTCTCATCGATGCTATGAGATATTCCACAGGCAAGGTCTAAAAAGGTAGCCTTCCAACACTAATCTTTGTTGCTGCCTCTGTAGCTTCTGACAGATGGTGGGAAAACAGGTACCACCGAGCCGCCCACTTTTGGCCCAGATGAGCTTCCTGAAATGCCTGCCCTTTGGGTGCCTATTGTCCCGGCTCAGCTTGGAGTTGAGAAACAGGTGAACTTCCAAAGGAGCCTTAAAATATCTATTCCCAACTGAGGGCAACCACAGTCTCCTCTTACATGCCAATGTGGTTAAGCTAGCTGGGCATAAAATTCTGAAACTACACATTCCCATCTGTTTTCTTAGCACTCACTGACTTCACGTCTAAGCAGCATCATTCTTTGGGTCTCTGTTGTTTTGTTTTCTTTTGTTTTTCAAATTAACAAGGAGTACCAGAAAAGCTTTAAAAATATGCAAATAAGGACTATAGCATGGAAGTGCCTACCTGCCTCCCTTCCTCCCTCTATGTAATTCCATTAGTGGAACTAGTTAAAGTAACTCTGCCAGGTAGCTTGTCCCAGAGACACATCTGGTGTGCAGAGGTCAGATTGGGGCACAGGAAGTCTGACTCTAAAACGGATGTTGTTCTTCACTGCTCAGGCAACCCTCCCTCCACTGTCTGCATAAAATGATGATGAATTAGGACTGGCCGGTTCAATGCAACTTGCACAGATGCCAAAGGTACAACCAAGAATTGGGTTAAATGTCTATAATTCTGGGCAATTACTTCCCATTTGCAACAGAATAAAAGACCCCAAAAATACTGAGTCACCTTGGACTCCCGGCAATGCTACAGGACAGGTGGAATTACTCCATAGACAGGTGGAATTGCTCCATGGGGTCTTAATGGAAGCAGAATGCCATGCCAGTCTGGAGTGCAGAGTGGGTTCTGACCACTGACTTTCCAGTTACCAGTTGAGCCCTTAAGCGTTGAGCTGCGAGGGCTCTTCAGTAAAATCAGCTTCAACAATTCACAGGCTGAACTCGGCAATTTTGCCTTGATCTTTATGTCTCTGTGGCTGGTAAAATCTTCAATAATTCCGATTGAATTTAGAAATTTTGATTTGATCTTTTTGCCTCTGTGGCTGGTAAAATTTAGATGATGCCAAAATAACCATTCATATACACACAGCATTCTGTTATACTCGACTACTATACTGCACTACACACGTGAGGCCTCGTGGTGGAGCGGGTTACAAGCTGGGCTGCTAAACACAAGGGCAGCAGCCGTTCAATACCACCAGGCGCACTGGGGGGAAAGATGATAGGAAACATGGCAGAACACCGCTTTCCAGCTCCCTAATGTGGTTCTGGCATAATGTGGGCGCAGCGTTTGCAGAGCGCAGGAGGACCTACCTAGAACACAATAGGCACTAAGATGTCCTCTGCCACGCCGGTGGTTCTAAGTGGCTTGCACATGCTGACTTACAGGTGGCCTCTAAGAGGCAGTGCACATGTGCTAAATTGCTACAGGTCAGGGTGGCTGTCCACAGCAAGTTCACACTGAGACTCCCAGAGGGCAGAAAAGGGAAAAAGAGGTAGATTCACACCCAACTTGGGGTGTGGCTGCACTCAAAAGGTCTGTACACACCTGCACAGGGACTAAACCAAACTCACTGCCACTGAGTCAATGCTGACTCATAGCGATGCCCTCTTGGGTTCCAGAGTCTGTAACTGTTTAAGGGAGTAGAAAGCCTCGTTTTTCTCCCATGGAGCGCCTGGTGGTTTTGAACTACCAACCAGGCAGATTGCAGCTCAACAATTAACCACTATACCTCAAAGGCTCCTAATGCAGACTGTGTGTGTGTGTGTGTGTGTGTGTGTGTGTGTGTGGTGTGCCAAGTAAGAGAAATGTTTCCATCTTGACAAATGAACTTCAGTAAATGCACTGCCATCAAGCCCATCCCGACTCAGAATGATCCATACAGACGTTCCAGGGCTGTAAATCTTTATGGAACAGACAGCCTCAACTTTCTCCCAAGGACCCGCTCATGGGTTTGAACTGGTGAACTTGAGGTTTGTGCAGTTCAATGTTTACTACAGAGGGCCCCTGAGGCTTCGTCAATGAAAAGAATACACCAAAAAGCAAACTCACTGCCATCCACTCCATTTCGACTCACGGTGACCCTGTAGGACAGGGTCGGACTGTCCCTGTGGGTTTCAGAGAATGGCGCTTTTTTTTTTTTTTAATCAATCATTTTATTGGGGGCTCTTATCATAATTCAGACAGACATCCATGTGGCAAGCACCTTTGTACATATGTTGCCATCATCATTTTCAAAACATTTCCTTTCTACTTGAGCCCTTGGTATCAGCTCATTTCCCCCTCCACCATCCTCTCTCTCTCATGAACCCTTAAAAATTTATAAATTTTTTTTCATGTCTTATACTGACCACTGTCTCCCTTCACCCACTTTTCAGTTGTCCGTCCCCCAGGGAGGGGGTTACATGTAGATCATTGTGATCGGTTGCCCTTAGAGAATGTAACTCTTCATGGGAGCAGAAAGTCTCATCTTTTTCCTGTCGAGTGGCTCTTGGGTTTGAACAGCCGACCTTGCACTCAGCTGCCCACTGCTGACCCGTCAGGGCCACGTGAGTACCATTTATAAGAAGTATTGCTCTGACTGTGACTTTATGGCGCAGTTTAGGGCACACAGTCAGTGCAGGTGAAATGACTACAGGTGCAGGTGAAATTATCCTCGCTGATGCAGGCATACTCAGAAGTAACAGCACGAGCAATCCGAGGATAGGCACCCAGAGTCAGAGCAGCTTATATCAGAGAAGTATGTCCGTTCTATGGGTGGCCCAAAAGGTAACATGCTTGGCTGCGAATAGGCTGAATGCTTGAGTCTACCCAGAGAGAGGTGTTCAGAAGAAAGGCCTGGTGATCCACGTCCAATGAAAAGTCCGTCCTTGGAAACCCAAGGCACACAGTTCCGCTCTGATACCCACGGAGCCACCGTGTGTCAGGATCACTGGTTTCCTGCTTTTTCAACTTTCAGAGTTCTCTCAGATTGGCACAGCGGGTTACATATCGCAATGCTAAACTGCAAGGTGAGCAGTTCAAAACCAACCTGGGCTCCACGGGAGAGAGATGGGGCTTTCTACGCCTGCAAAGTCCCAGCTGAGCCATACCGTGAATATTACTTGTGGCTACAAATGACAAATGACCTAACACTTGTGGAAGAGCCTCTTAACGCTGGGCTGAGTGGGCAGGCAAGAAACAGAGAGAAGACAAGAGCAGGCTGTGATGGGTGCTCATGTCCCAGACCCTCCCACAGGCCGCCTGCCATGGGAAACTGGTCTGCAAGTGCCGTGAGAGCGAAGCCATGCCGCCTGCAGGTGGTGAGATGCCTGTTCCTGGTGCTTCTCCCTGGCAGGTCGGGGCTGAAAGAAAAGCAGCATGCAGCCCCCATCTTAGAAGGGGACGTGTAGTCGCTAAAGCCGGGACCACGTAGGCCAGTGGACAGCACAGTCCCACCGATTTCCCGCAGTCCAGGCTGAGTGGCCTCCTGGGCCTGGGCCTCACGGTGATGGACTTCCCATGGGGGCTGAGTTTGGCTCACTCTCCGTCTAGCTTAAAGATTAAAAGGGTGCACGCTGGGTCCCCGAGACCAGACCCTGTGCCACCGGTCAGTGGCAGGTCCCACGAGGGCTTGCACTTACCAAGCTTACAGGTTGCATGTTCAGAACGCAGCTTGGAAGATGACTCTGCCCCTCCCCCGGCCTCAGAGAAAGCGGTCAATATTTTCCAGCACACCCGAAGCCAACAGATGAACAGTTTTAATAATTTGCAGGCAGTGTTTGGGAAGGGCATGCCATCCATCTGCAGGAAAAACAAAAGAGTACATCCCAGGAACGGAGTGCGTCAACTGACGTCAGAGTGGAAAGAGGTTGGTTGGGGCTGAAAGAAATCCTGGCATTTCCTCTTTTTGTAAGGCAGGGGAACCTTTTGAAAAGCGACCCACCGCCCATTAAAAAAACAAAAACGAGACCACAAAACGTCGATGTCCGTGTATCCAGCTTGCTGGAAGTCCATGCGATCCGGTGTCGCAGCTGCCGTCCCACCTACACAGGGAGGTGACTCGGTGCCCAGTTGAGTCCAGCAGCGGTTTGTAGCTGTTCTGGTCTTAACTGCTCCAAGAGCTACTTCGCGGCGGGGAACAGACACACAGGGAGGTGACAGGGCAGGCGTCCACTCCTCTCCAGTGTGCCCAAGCACCGCCTTGGGGCCAGCACACGCTCACCCTGAGGGAGTGGTCCCTGGCTCAGGTGGCCCTCCGAGGGTCACTGGGGGAGCAGGCCCCACCCTAGCCAGTTACAGAGCTGCACAGAGCTGGGGGGAGGAGAGGGAGGAGTCCTCCTGCAAGAACGATGGAGGGGCTGTGGAGGCGTTGGTACCCGGTGGCCAAGCTATCTGAGCTGGGTGCACCGGTTTTCCTTTGACGCGGCCTTTCTCTCACGCACTTCCCCAAAGGGCTAGGATGAGAACTAGGGCCCACAAGTGAGCCCAATGAACAGGCACCCTGCCTTTCACCATGCTTCTCAGACTGCGTCCCTTCTAAACGGGAGGATGAGAATCCCCCCTGGGTCCAGAGAGCCCGTGGGCGCCATTTCCCCAACAGCTTCTCCATGTCACAC